GCTTGGGCACTTTCTCTCCCAGAGCTTTTTCACTCAAGGGTAGTGTTCTACCATTTTGAGCCACAGCACTACTTCCCCTTTTCTGGTGGCCAATTGTAGATAAGAGTCTAATGATCTTTGCTTCCTGGGCTGGCTTCAAACCATGATCCTTAGATCTCAGACTCCTGAGTAGCTAGGATTATAGGCATCAACTACCAGAGCCTGGCAGGAAGCAAATTTTCTTTCTTCTTTTTTTTGTGTGTGGGGGGGGTTGGGTCGTGGGGCCTGAACTCTGGGCCTGGGCGCTGTCCCTCAGCTCTTCAGCTCAAGGCTAGCGCTCTACCACTTGAGCCACAGCGCCACTTCCAGCTTTTTTCTTTTTTCTTTTTTTTGCTTATGTGGTGCTGAGGAATTGAACCCAGGGCCTCAGGCGTGCAAGGCAAATGCTCTTACACTGAGCCACCTTCCCAGCCCCCAGGAAGCAAATTTTCTATTGAACAATATTCTGGTTTTATCCATGAGGTTGAATCTTATTCTCTGTAAATATTGACCAGTATTACTAGGCTAGATGTTGCCATGCCTAGTTGGCTTTCTTTTCCATTTTTTTCTTTACTTGTTCTCTTCCTTGTCCCCTACCCTCTTTCTATACGTCAATGAAAAGCTTAATTATAAGATGGGCAAGTGCAATGCTTCAGGTTCATGGTCTTCCTCAACAGATGATTTCTTGTCAGTCCCTTGGACCAGGTGGTAGCATCTGGTTCCTTGTACTGTCACTATGCTCTTTCTTGGGTTTCTGGACCAACTTAGATGTTAGAGAGTAATATTGGTAAAATTTTGTGGATATTTTTCTTTTCCTTGCCCTTCTTTGATAGATTGGATCTTGATGTGTAAAGCAATTTTAGCAAGGAAAAGGGTAACTCTGCGTGTACTTTGGGGACATGTACTCATGGCCTTTTCTGTCTTGTCTTGTCTTGTCCTTCCTTCCTTCCTTCCTTCCTCTTTGTCTCTTTCTTTCCTTCCTCTCTCCTTATCTCCCCCCCCCCCCCCTTTCTTTCTTTTCTTTCTTGTCGCTTATGGGGCTTGAACTCAGGCCTGGATGCTGTCCCTGAGATTTTTTGCTCAAGGCTGGTGCTCTACCACTTCAAACCACAGCACTTTTTCTGGTTTTCTGGTGGTTAATTGGAGATAAGAGTCTCAGACTTTCCTGCCTGGGCTGGCTTTGAACTGTGATCTTCCAAGCTCAGCTCTCTGAGTAGCTAGGATTACATGTGTCAGCCACTGATGCCCCACTCCTTTTTATTCTTGCTTAGCTTTTTTGCTTCGTCTATCACTTGAACCATGCCTCCAGTTTTGTTATTTTGCTGGCTAATTGGAGATGAGAGTACCTCTGATTTGTCTGTCTGGGCTTGCTTTGAACAGTGATTCTCAGATCTTGGCCTACTGAGTAGCTAGGATCATAGGTGTGAAATAGCCTGTCTGCTTTTTTTTTTTTTTTTTTTTGGTTGGTTGTGAGGCCTGAACTCTGGGCCTGGGTACTGTCTTCAGCTCAAGGCTAATGCTCTACCAATTGAGTCACAGCACCACTTCTGGCTTTTTCTGCTTTGTGGTGCTGAGGAATCAAACCCAGGGCCTCATGCATGCAAAGTAAGCACTCTACCTCTGAGCCATCTTCCCAGCCCCAGCCCGTCTGCTTTTTAAATAGCTCAGAATGTTGACTCATTTGAAAGATTGTACGACAGTTTTGATATTAGACATCTCAAATTCTGCATTAAGTGAGCAGAATTCATATCTGAATTCATATCAGAATTCGGATATGAATTCTGCTGACTTTAGCTTAAGATTTTAGTCATTAATCTTTTACCCACCTATAGGCAACCTAATTGAAAATCAGTCATTCTAAAAAAAGTGATTGTTGGGTTCTGCTAGAGAGAAGTTACAGTCAAAATTGTTCTGTTTAAGTGGCACTGTGGCTCAAGTGGTTGAGTGCTCGCCTTGAGCTAAAGAGCTCAGGGACAGTGCTCAGGCTCAGAGTTCAAGCCCCACGATTGACAAAAGAAAAAAAGAAAGAATACAGTTTGAAACCCTTTAGCCAAGCACCGGTGGCTCACACCTGTAATCCTAGCTACTCAGGAGGCTAAGATCAGAGGATCACAGTTCAAAGCCAGCTGGGGCAGGAAAGTCCGTGAGACTTACTCCAATTAACCACCTGAAAACCAGAAGTGGCACTTTGGCTCAAACCTGCCCCCCCCCCCCCCCAAAAAAAAAAAAAAGTCTGTTGTTATGTCTTTTAAATTGTGTGGATCATTTTGTCCAGCATACTTCCTAACAGGTGAATTGTATTTTTATTGTTTGTTTCTGAGAAGAGGTTTGAAAATTATCCAAGTTTTTTCTACCCTGCCTCACTATGGGGAAGAAAATTTTGTTGCTTCTTTTTTTTTTTTGCCAGTCCTGGGTCTTGGACTCAGGGTCTAGGCACTGTCCCTGAGCTACTTTTGTTCAAGGTTAGCACTCTACCACTTGAGCCACAGTGCTACTTCCAGCTTTTTCTGTTTATGTGGTACTGAGGAATCTAACCCAGGTCTTCATGCATGCTAGGCAAGCACTCTACCACCAAGCCACATTCCCAGCCCTTGTTGCTCTTCTTATTGGTACTATAAATATTTAATCTGTGCCTTTTCAATTACTGTGAACTATCACAACCACTTAACCCTCCTATATATTATGAACTTTAGGAGCCCTTAATAATTTTTTTTTAGACAATTACAGTTGCAACTTACTTGATTTGTCCTTAATCTTATGTGTTTCTGTTGCTGCTTCACTATTATTAATCTTTACATGTGCATTGAGTCTTATGACTCAGTATTAATATATACTATTCCATTTGGACTTGGTTCTTAGTTTTCTTTAACATGGTTAATCTTTCTTTGAATTTTTAAAAACTAGGTCAAAGTGATAGTTTAGTAGTATTTAAAGATAAAGGACAACTTCCTCTGAATGCGAGGTGGGGGAAGGCCTGTTTTTTAGTTATCATATGTTTCCAGTGTAATTATGAATGGAAGTTGTGGGATGCCAAACCCTTAGGAATTTAATCTTTAGGAGTTTAATTTTTTTCCATGGATTTTCTATAGCTATGGTGTGTGTGTGTAAGAGAGTGAGGGGGGGTACTAGAGCTTGAACTCAGGGCTTCATGTGCTCACTTGGCTTTTTTTGCTCACCTCCAATTAACTAGCAAAAGCTGAAAATGGAAATATAGAGTGCCAGCCTTGAGTAAAAAGAGCAAAAGTACAAGGCCCTGAGCATACGTCCCAGAACTGACAGACACACAAACTGTTTTTACATTGGGTCTCACTAATTTGTTTAAGCTGGCCTTGAACTTGCAATCTGCCTATCTCAGCTTTTTTTTTTTTTTTTGGTAGCCCAAGACTGGGACTCAAATTCTGTACCTAACACTTTTTCTCATTGGCTGGTGTTGTACCAACTGAGCCATGCCTCTAACTCCTAACCTCAGCCTTTTGTGTGTATATGTGCTGGTCCTGGGACTTAAACTCAAGGCTTGAGTGCTGTCCCTGAGCTTTTTTTGCTCAAGAACAGTGCTCTACCACTTGAGTCACAGCTCTACTTCTTGCTTTTTGGTGGTTAATTGGAATTGGAGATAAGAGTTTAACAGACTTTTCCTGCCCGGGCTGGCTTCAAATGATGATTTTCAGATCTCAGCCTCCTGAGTTGCTAGGATTACAAGCTTGAGCCATTGATGCTTGGCTATAAGTGAGTCTTAAACACCAAAAAATTTCTGATCATAGCAGAAATTAAGATCGGAATGTAGGAGTGCAGATTCAAATTTCTGCCTATATTAAATGCTTTTCAGTTATTTTGATGCTATTTTCTCATCCTTAGCCTTCTTACTACCATAGATCAAATCTTTTGTTTTCTAAAATAGTAAATACAGGAGAAAAACTACTGTAGATAGTGCTAAAAGTTCTTACTCTTCTACCTCTGGGGGGGAAAAATTGTTTCTGGACATTATGGCACATGCTTATGATCCCAGTATTTGGGATGGTTAAGTGGAAGAATTGTTATTTTGAGGCCAATGTTGACCCCAGTACAAAAAGAAAACTAAATGAGAAGAAAAGAAAAAATTACAGCCCAGAGCCTGTGGCTCATGCCTTGTAACTCTTGCTCCTCAGGAAGCTGAGATCTGAGGATCATGGTTCAAACTCAGCCCAGGCAGCAAAGTCTGTGAGACTCATATCTCCAATAAACAACTAGAAAACTGGAAGTGGTACTGTGGCTCAAGCAGTAGAGTGCTTGCCTTGAGTTAAAGAGCACAGGGACAGCACCCAAGCCCAGAGTTCAAGCCACACCACCAACCAAAAAAGAAAAAATTACTACTCAGGCCATAGGATATCCAGTGAATTTGGATATCAAGCCCTTTTTCTTTCAACCATGTTAAGCAGTGATTCTAAGTGGTAATATAAATGTGTTAAGAACCAGGCACAGGGGACGTTGTCCAAAAGCAAATGTACTCTTAGCTGGGCACTGGTGGCTTGTAACTGTAATCCTAGCTATTCAGGAGGCTGAGATCTGAGGATTGTGGCTCAGAGCAAGCCTGGGCAGAAAAGCCTGTGAGACTCTTATCTCCAATAAACTACTCAGAAAAAGCCAGAAGTAGTGCTGTGGCTCAAATGATAGAGAGTTAGCCTAAGCACAAAGAGGCTTTGCCCAGGCCCTGAGTTCAAGCCCTAGGACCCGAAAAAAGAGAGGGGAGGAGGGAGAGGGAGAGGGAGAAGAAGGGGAGGTATTGAATAACAATGGAATATGTATAGGACCTCCATGGGTATGGAGAGAATGATTTCCAAAAGGATTTCATACCAGTGAACAGGAAGCATAGCTTATTGTTTTGTTTAGTTGACTAAAACCTTGCTGCTTTTGGTATGCTTGATAGACAGTGTGTGTATACATTTATGATTATATATATGTATATGCATATACATTTATACACACATAAATTTGTTTTTTCTTAGCAGCAGCACCTGGAATCAAGAAACCCTTGGCACCTGAGGTGAGTTGAATGTTGGTAACCGTGGTTACTAAACTTTAATCCTGGGAGATCTGTTTACAATATCTTTATTTTCTCTATTCTTAGGTCTTGGAAAGTTAGAAAGGATTTTTTTTTTTTTTGAGGGGGGAATGTTAGGATCAAATCAGGTCCTTGTGCATGCTAGGCAAGTACTGTACTACTTGAGCTATACCCCCAATTCTAGATCACATTCTTTCATCCTTTGGGTAATTCTGGAAATTGTTTACACTCTGTATTTGATACATTAAATACTCAAAGCTGTCTGGGTTGGAAGTGGCGAGGTGGCTCAGTGTGGTACAGTGCTAGCCTTGAGTGAAAAAGTTTAGAGGCAGTGCCCAGGCCCTGAGTTCTACCTCATGACCTACCAAAAAAAAAAAACAAACAAAAAACTGTCTGGGTGCTTGTGGCTCACAACTGTAATCCTGTTCAAAAGGCTGAGATCTGAGGATGATGATTCAAAGCCAGACCAGGCATGAAAGTCCATGAGACTCTTATCTCCATTTAACCACCAAAAAGCTGGAAGTGCAGCTATGACTCAAGTGGTAGAGTACTAGTCTTGAGCACAAAAGCTCAAGATCCAGATCTAAGTTCAAGCCTAGGACATTCTCTCTCTCTCCACTCACTCTCTTAAAGCTGGGCATACCTGTAATCCTAGCTACTTAGGAGGCTGAAATCTGAGGATCTCTGTTTAAAACCAGCCTGGACAGGAAGGTCTATAAGACTGTCTCCAGTTAACTACTAGAAAGTTGGAAGTGAAGCTATAGCTCAGGTGGTAGAGTATTAGTCTTGAGTGAATATGCTAAGAGACAATTCCCAGACCCTGAGATCAAGCAGAACTCAATGAATAACAAATATTGTTAATGTTCATAAAAAATAAAATTTTGAATATTTCTTAATGTACCATATTCAATGTATGGCAAAGAGTATATACTCTTCAGAGAGTATAAGTGTTCTTTTTAGATGTTGTTACTTACTCCTACAAGCAAGTACTGTTATTAATGTTTTAACCTATGAAGTGAGGATTTCAGATTGTATAACTTTCTCAAGTTCCTATAAAAGCTTGTTAAAGACGAGGATTAAAATCCAGATAGTCCTGGAAGTGGCGCTGTAGCTCAAGTGGTAGAGCGCTCGCCTTGAGTTGAAGAGCTGAGGGACAACGCCCAGGCCCAGAGTTCAAGCCCCACGACCGACCAAAAAAAAAAAAAATCTATATAGAGCACTCAAAATCCAGATAGTCCAATAGTCTTATATTGCTGTTACTGTCTGTTGTTTGTGTATGTTGAGTTTATAGGATCAACGTGTGGGTATGCACTTGCACATGTGCCTGCATGCACGCACACATGTGCTGGTACTGGGGCTTGAACTCAGAGCTGGGATGCTGTCCCTTAGTTTTTTAGCTCAAGTTCTACCACTTGAGCCAGAGCTCTACTTCCAGCTTTTTGGTTGTTAATTGGAGATAAGAGTCTTCATGGACTTTCCTGTTTGGCTTGGTTTTGAACTATGATCCTCAGATCTCAGGCTCCTGAGTAGGATTACAGGCATGAACCACCAGTGCCTGGTGATCAATTTATTTATTCATTTATTTATTTATTTTGACCAGTTCTGGCACTTGAACTCAGGGCTTGGACACTGTCCCTGAGCTTCTTTTATTCAAGGCTAGCATTTTACTACATGAACCACAGTGCTACTTCTAACCTTTTCTGTTTATGTGGTACTGAGGAATTGAACCCAGGGCTTCATGCATAGTAGGCAAGCACTCAACCTCTAAGCTACATTCCCAGTCCATGATAGTTTATTTTGATCAAAAGAAGCCTGTTAATTTTCCAATTTTCTCTTTTCTGTGAAGAATATCTTGTTTGTTTTACTTTCTCCTCATGTAGTTTCCCCATACTTCTCACCTCTTGGATCCTGCATTTGATATCCGAGATCTCAGACTAGTCCTATGCCCCTCCATGAGACATTTTTTTTTTTTTGAGGGGGGGGTTGGTCATGGGGCTTGAACTCTGGGTCTGGGTGGGTGCTGTCCCTGAGCTCTTTGGCTCAAGTGCTAGCCTTGAGTGCTAGGGACAGTGCCCAAGTTCCATGATCAGCTAAAAAAAAAGAAAAGGTACCCTTGAAATTTTTTGATTTGCCCCTCTTTTTTTTTTTTTTTTTCTTGGTCAGTGGTGGGGCTTGAACTCTGGGCTTGGGCGCTGTCCCTGCACTCTTTAGCTCAAGGCTAGTGCTCTACTACTTTGATCCATAGTGCTTCCTGAGGAGCTAGGATTATAGGTGTGAGCCCCAGTGCCCAGCTCTTTTTTTTTTTTTTTTTTTAAGATATTGTTTTGCTAGCTATGTAACTCAAGCTAACCTTGAATTGGCCAACTTCCTGCCTTAGCCTGAGTGCTAGGGTTCAGGCATGGACCACTATACCTGTTGTCTGTTTTGCTTTTGTGGATTCCATAGGGTGTTTTGTGTTTTCATAGAGTGGGACTTCTAAAAAGTATTTATAAAATTTTCTTCATATAGAAAGAATGTCTTGATTGAAAATTTTTGCTTTGATAAATTGTCAATATTCCTGTTTATTATATTAACATGGAAATCATATGTTAATCTTAACTATTCTTTTCTAGGTGCCTTATACCTCTAGTGTGTCCAGCAAGAAAATAGGCCACAGGGGGGTTGATCCCTCAGGAGAGACAACATATAAAAAGGTAGGTCTGAATGGAACCTTCTCATTTGTCAATTCAGGGACAAATACTGATAGTAATATTATATTTTTTTATTTACTTATTTTTGTAGTGAGACTTGAACATCAGGGCCTGGGTGCTGTTCCTAAGCTCTTTTGCTCAAGGCAAGTGCTCTACCACTTTGAGCCACAGCTCTACCTCCAGTTTTCAGGTGGTTAATTGGATATGAGTCTTATTGACTCTCCTGCCTGGGCTGGCTTTGAACTATAATCCTCAGATCTCAGCTCCTGAGTAGCTAGGATTACAGACATGAGCCATCAGTGCCTGGCTTGATATTCTTCTGCATATATACCCTTTCTTTTCTTTTCTTTCTTTTTTTTTTTTTTTGGCTGGTCCAGGGGCTTGAACTCAGTGACTAGGCACTATCCCCACTCCTCTTTGTGCTCAAATTAGTACTCTACCACTTGAACCACTGCACCACTTCCAGACTTTTCTGAGCAGTTTATTAGAGATAAGAGTCTCATGGATTTTTCTACCTAGGGTGGCTCTGAACTGTGATCCTCAGATTTCAGCTTCCTGAGCAGCTAGAATTACAGGCATGAGCCACTGGTGCCCAGCTTGCTTGCTTGCTTCCTTCCTTCCTTCTTTCTTCCTTCCTTTCTTTCTTCCTTCCTTTTTTTTTTTTTGTGCCAGTCTTTGGGCTTGAACTCAGAGCCTGGATACTGTTCTTGAGTTTTTTTTCCTCAACGCTAGTGCTCCACTTGATCCATAATTCCACTTCTAGCTTTTTGTGGTTGGAGATAAGAGTCTCATGGACTTTCCTTTCCTGGGCTGGCAAGAAAGAACTTAGATCCTCAGATCTCAGCTTCCTGAGTAACTAGTATTACAGATGTGAGACACTGGTAACCAGCCATATAACCCCTATTTCTTGATATCCTAGGCCATTGAAAAATGATCATTTTATAACTTGGACTTTAGAATTTATTTCAGAAAGGATAGATTGTTATCTATCATCTATATGTTTAAAGGAGAATGTTCTTTGTCTTTTGTAGTTCTGGGAATGGATCCCAGGAGCTTGTGTTTTCTGGACAAATACTCTGCCACTGAGGTATATTCCCAGCCCTAGATGAGAATATTTTGTGTGTGTGTATGTATGCTGCCACTGAGGCTTAAACTCGGGGCCTTATGCTCTTCCTTGGCTTTTTTTGCTCAAGGCCCCACTCTTATCATTTGAGCCTCTACTTCTGTGTTTTTATTGGTTAATTAAAGATGAGAGTAACTCAAATTTGTTTTCTTGGGTTGACTTTGAATCTCGATTCTCAGATCTCAGCCTGTGCCTGGCAAGAATGTTCTTAATGAAAAAAAACTAACATTGGTTGCTGTTTTACTGAGCTTAAGAAATTGGAGGGGTTGGGAAGGTGGCTCAGTGGTAGAGTACTTGCCTTGCATGCATGAGGCCCTGGGTTCGATTCCTCAGCACCACATAAGCAGAAAAAAAGCTGGAAGTGGTGCTGTGGCTCAAGTGGTAGAGTGTTACACTTGAGCTAAAGAGTTGAGGGAGGGGCTGGGAAGGTGGCTCAGTGGTAGAGTGTTTGCCTTGCATTCATGAGGCCCTGGGTTCGATTCCTCAGCACCACATGAGCAGAATAAGCCCGAGTGGCACTATGGCTCAAGTGGTAGAGCGCTAGCCTTGAGCTGAAGAGCTCAGGGACAGCATCCAGCCCTAGAGTTCAGGCCCCATGACCAAAAAAAACAAAAAAAAAAAAGAGTTGAGGGACAGTGCCCAGGCCCAGAGTTCAGACCCCATGACTGGCAAAAAATTAAAAAAAAGAAGAAAGAAATTGGATTTTGAGGGGCGCCAGTGGCTCATGTCTATAATCCTAGCTACTTAGGAGGCTAGATCTGAGGATTGCAGTTCAAAGCCAGCCCAGGCAGGAAAGTCAGTGAGACTTTTTTTTGGGGGGTGGAGGGGGGGTCCGGTCCTGGGGCCTGGGCGCTGTCCCTCAGCTCTTCAGCTCAAGGCTAGCCCTCTACCACTTGAGCCACAGCGCCACTTCTGGCTTTTTTCTTTTTGCTTATGTGGTGCTGAGGAATCGAACCCAGGGCCTCGAGCATGCAAGGCAAGTGCTCTACCACTGAGCCACCTTCCCAACTCATCGGTGAGACTCTTATGTCCACTTAACTACCATAAAACCAGAAATGGCACTGTGGCTCAAGTGGTAGAGGGCTCACCTTGAGCTGAAGAGCTGAAGGGACAGCACCCAGAGTCCAAGCCCCACAACCAACCAACAACAACACTAACAAAAATGGATTTTATTTATAGGAATAAACTTGTAACTAGGCCCTAAAGGCCATTCTTACATAGAGGACTATGTTTCCTGAAGTCTCTCTTCTCCCCCACTTTTCCTTAAAGACTTTCTGTTGTCCTTTATCATTAAATGTTTATGAAGTAAAGTTCAGATTCTAGTGTGGTAATACAATAGATTAGAAGCAGGTGAGGCATAGAGCCAGTGGCTCATACCTATAATCCTAGCTTCAGGAATCTGAGATTGGAAGATCTGAGTTTGAATTTAGCCCAGGCACAACAGTCCATGAGATTTATACTACTAATTAATGAACCACTTGAGGCGTGCCTCCAGTCTGACATTTTTACTAATTAATTGGAGATTGAGTTTCCCAGATGTTTCCTGCACAGGCTGACTTTAACCCTTAGTCTTCAGGTCTCAGCCTGAGTAGCTAGAATTATAGGCACAAGTCACTGGCACCTGTCCCTCTTGACTGCTTATTGCTGTGATCAGACTTTTTTTTCCCCCAGTCCTGGGGCTTGAATTGAAACCAGGGCTTCATGCATTCTGGGCAAGCACTCTACTACTAAGCCACATTCCCAGCCCTTGATCAGACTTAATAATGAAATTTTCATACCTGGTCATCGATAACACCAGTAATTCTATTTACTCAGGAAGCTGAGATTTAGAGGATCAAGGATGGAAGCCAGCCTGGGTAGAAAAGTTCTCAATACATTTCATCTCCAGATAAAAAGCAAAACAGCAAAAAGAAACCTGGGCTGGAGATGTGCATGGTTCCAGTAGTAGAGCACCAGTTGTGATATAAGAAAGCCAGGTGAAGCCAGGCACCAGTGGCTCATGCTTATAATCCTAGCTACTCAGGTGAGTAAAGCCTGAGGATGGAGATTTGAAGCCAGCCCTGATGGGAAAGTGTATGAAACTCTTACCTCCAGTTATTCACTAGAAAAGCTGGAAGTAGAGCTGTGGCTCAAGTAATAGAATACTAGCTTTGAGCAAAAGAAGTTCAGGGTCAGCAACCAGGCCCTGAGCTCAAGCCCCAGGACTGGCATGTACACACACACACCACACACACACACACACACACACACCACACACACACACACACACACACACACACACACACCAGGTAAGAGTGCAATGCAAGGAGTTTAACACACACACACACACACCAGGTAAGAGTGCAATGCGAGGAGTTTAAGCCCCAGGACCAAAAAGGGAAGAAAGGGATAGAGGGAAAAGACTGAAAATAATTTCCTTGTTTCTTTTCTGTTTATTAGACAACCTCATCAGCTTTGAAAGGTGCCATCCAGTTAGGCATTACTCACACAGTGGGAAGCCTGAGTACCAAACCAGAGCGGGATGTCCTTATGCAAGACTTCTACGTGGTAGAAAGTATCTTCTTCCCCAGGTATAGACACTTTTAAGGATTCTAGTGTGATTCAGCATATACAAGTCCTTGGCCTTGTTGTAATTAGGTAAATGGAACTGCACAGTTGCAGAACACATAGTATTCTTTGGATGCTTACATGAGCCTCTGACCTGTGGAATAAGTCATTAGAAAAAACAACTCAGTTGGATACCAATGGTTTAAGCTTGTAATGCTAGTTGCTTAGGAGGGAGGCTGAGATCTGAGAATCAGAGTTCAAAGCCAGCTCAGGGGGGAAAGTCTCTAAGACTTTTATCTCCAATTAGCCACTAAAAAGCTGGAAGTATGTGGCTCAAGTGGTAGAGCAATAGCCTTGAGCACAAAAACTCAGGGACAGTGCCCACATCTTGAGTTCAGGTTCCAGGACAGGCATGTGTGTACATGCATGCGCATGTGTGCTCACGCACACGCACGCACATACACACACACACACACTCCCCAACTCAGAATGATAGTTATGTCTTACTCCCCATGATGTATCTTTGTCCCAGTCACTCCTATTGTCTCTGGAGGATGTTTTTGCCTCTCATTGAATTCTTGGGTGGACTCCCTGGACGATAGGAACTGGGAAATTAAAGGTTCTTTTACTTAACTCCACAGTGAAGGAAGCAACCTGACTCCTGCTCATCATTACAATGACTTTCGTTTCAAGACCTATGCACCCGTTGCCTTCCGTTACTTTCGGGAGCTGTTTGGCATTCGACCTGATGATTACTTGGTAAACTTCTAATCTCAGAATACTTTGACTCCAGTGTTAGAGGGATAGTCTCAAAGAAAAGCTCCCTCTTCTCACAGTCTTGCTTGGGTTTTTTATTTTTTGTTTTGTTTTGTCAGTCATGGGGCTTGAACTCTGGGCTTGGGCACTGTCCATCAGCTCTTCAGCTCAAGGCTAGTGGCCTACCACTTGAGCCACAGCACCACTTCCAGTTTTCTTGTGGTTTATTGGAGATAAGAGTCTCATGGACTTTCCTGCCCAAGCTCACTTTGAACCGTGATCCTCAGATCTCAGCCTCCCTCTGAGTAGCTAGGATTACAGGCATGAGCCATTGGCGCTCGCATTGGGGTTTTCTTCAAAGCAGAAATGCATACATATTTTATTTCTTTGTTGAGCAGTGCCTGGTATATCTGAATATCTTACTGTCTTCTCTCTTGGCTTTAGTACTCTCTTTGCAGTGAGCCTCTGATTGAACTCTGCAACTCTGGAGCTAGTGGTTCCCTCTTCTATGTGTCCAGTGATGATGAATTCATCATCAAGACAGTCCAGCATAAGGAAGCAGAATTTCTGCAAAAATTGCTTCCAGGATACTACATGGTAAGCAAAGGAAGAGAGGAGCGCTGGCTGACTACTGAGTGAGGCTGGGGAGGCTGTCTTCAGCAAGGCAGAATAGTGTTAAAACTTTTTCTGAAGAGTATTTTTGTGCTTTTTGCTCCATCTCTTTTGACTCTGGGATTTGTTTTTCTGCCTTGTTTTAAATGGTATTATACTGGCTTAAGATTCAAGATGTTTCTGTTTTGTTGTTTGTCGACCTTGTAGTTTGGAAAATAAATTAGTTTACTTTCTTTGCTAATCTCATTCTGATAGATTGCGCTTGTAGATACTGGAGAATTTGTGAAACACTTTTTAGTCTTCCAGGAATATAACCAGGGCTATGGGTTAAGATCTTTTGTTGTTGTTGTTTGTGGTGCTGGGATTGAATTTATCACCTTATGCTATATACATGCTAGGCAGGTGCTTCTACCACTGAGCTACACCCTCAGCCTTCTAAATTTTTTTTTTAAACCTTGTTAAGTTTGAATACACCCATCATATGTTTGATATCCTAATTCCTATTTTGGATAATCTCTGGCTTGGTGGTGATGTCATTGAGGTCGATACATCAATATATTTTGGTGTGTTTTTTTTTGCAAATTTTTTATTGTGATTAAGTGATTACATAATTTCACAAATTTCACAGTATTGTGGGATAGTGATGCTTAAAGTCACATTCCAACCTTCATGGGGCAAATTATTGTAGTCTATAAAGTTTATGAGTTCTATGGGCTTTGACTATACAGCATTAATATATTTTGAACAAAATATGTGGTAGACGCATTATGTCTTAATCCCATGTAGGAAACAAGAAGGAGGATGACAGTTTTTGCCCTTGAATTTTACTGAAAACTTTCATTTGTGCCACCAGAACCTCAACCAGAATCCTCGAACTTTGCTGCCTAAATTCTATGGACTGTACTGTGTACAGGCAGGTGGCAAGAACATACGAATTGTGGTGATGAACAATCTCTTACCGCGGTCAGTCAAAATGCATATGAAATATGACCTCAAGGGTTCAACCTACAAGCGGCGGGCTTCTCAAAAAGAACGAGAGAAACCCCTCCCCACCTTCAAAGACCTGGACTTTATACAAGACATCCCTGATGGTCTTTTTTTGGATGCTGATATGTACAATGCTCTGTGTAAGACCCTACAGCGTGACTGTTTGGTGAGTTTATGCCATATTTGCCTCTCTCAGACATCAAAATTCTCAGTCAAATTCCAGGAAATGGAAACTTTTTTGTTGTTGTTGTTGGTGGTGGTGGTGGTTTTGTTGTCTTTTTGTGCGGGTGGTAGGGGGGGGACACAAGAATGAGGGGAGGAGGGCAAACAAATTGAGTCATGTTATTCAATATATACTATGTAAAAAATGAACTATGCAACTTGTGGGAAAAGACCAGATGGGGAAAAGTGAAGGAAGAGGTGACATTGTCCAAGAAGCATCATATTCATTACCTGACTTAGGGAATTGTAACCTCTTGTACAACTCCTTAATAATAATAATAGTAATTTTTTAAAAAAGTACCTAAAACGTTCTCAGTCTCTGAAACAGCTTGGTTATTCTTAGTGACTTTTTCAGGAGCTGGGGCTCTGTTCCTTAGTGCCAAAGGTCCTAGATGTTAGGCAAAAGAGATTTCTAAAAGGTTTGGCACTCTGTTTTTTTTTTTCGTTTTTGTTTTTGTTTGGTGGTATAGGGGATTGAATGCAGGGACTTGAACTTGGTGGGTAAAAACTCTACCACTTAGAGCCACATTTCCAAGCCCTTTTACTGTGTGTGCATGCGTTCATGTGTGTGTGCCAGTACTGGTACTTAAACTCTTGACTGGGTTCCGTCTCTTAGTTTTTTCACTCAAGTCTGGTGCTCCTACTACTAGAGTCGCAGTTCCACTTCCTGTTTTTTGGTGGTTAATTGGAGATAACAGACTCTTATCAGCCTACAACAAGAAGAAGACAGATCCCCAGATCTGTCTCCTGAATAGCTAGGATTATATAGGCTTGAGCCACTGGTGCCCAGGGCAGCTCTTTTGCTTTTGTTTTTCAGAATAGGGTACACAGCCTGAGGCCATTGGCTCACAACTATAATCCTAGCTACTAAGGAGGCTGAGGTCTATCGACCACAGTCCAAAGCTAGCCCAGGCAGGAAAGTCTGAGACTTTTTTTTGCGGGGGGGGGGGGGGGGGGGGGAGGCAGGGGTCGTGGGGCCTGAACTCTGGGCCTGGGCACTGTCCCTCAGCTCTTCAGCTCAAGGCTAGTGCTTTACTACTTGAGCCACAGTGCCACTTCTGGCTTTTTGCTTTTGTGGTGCTGAGGAATCGAACCCAGGTCCTCATGCATGCAAGGCAAGGGCTCTACCACTGAGCCACCTTCGCAGCCCCAGTCTGAGACTTTTATCTCCAGTTAACCACCAGAAAATCAGAAATGGTGCTGTGGTTCAATGTAGTAGATTGCTAGCCTTGAGCAAAAAAGCTCAGGGACAGCCTCCAAGCCCCAAGTTTAGTCCCACATCAGCTTATAATAAAAACTACACTAATTTGGCCTTGTACTGAGATCCTTCTACTCCTGCCTCCCAAGTATCTGAGACCGCAGGAGATCCCAAGTATCTGAGACTGAGGAGAGCCACTCCAATGGCTGGCGCCTGCGCTGGGTGACTTTTCCCTGGATGGAACTGAGTCTGTGAGGTCACTTCACCGTTAAGTTCTTGTGACCTGCTAAATGACTCATTTTATTCCAAGGCCTGAGCTGGAGCTAGCAGCTCCTCCGAGCTTTGTCGGTATCCAAGATGGAGATCACCGGTGCTGGGGGGGGGGAGGGGTGGCCTTCCCTCCTCTGCTCCCTGAGAAGGAGTGAGGACGTCGGGCTTCTACTCACGCCGAGTCTTGGTTCCTGGGTCGTCTCTGGTCTGCAAACTGCAGGATGAAGATGACCACTCCTTGTCGGTTCTTGCTGGTGTTGAGTAGAATCCAGGATATATACCTGAGACAGTTTTTTTTGTGTGTGTTTTTTTGTTTTTTGGCCAGTTGTGGGGCCTGAACTCAGCCTGGGTGCTGTCCCTCAGCTCTTCAGCTCAAGGCTGGCACTCTACCACTTGAGCCACAGCACTGCTTCCAGCTTTTGCTGCTTATGTGGTGCTGAGGAATTGAACCCAGTCCTCATGCATGTGAGGCAAGCACTTTATCACTAAGCTACCTTCCCAGCCCAGGTGTTTTTTGTTTTTTTGTTTTTTTTCCAAATTATACTGAAGAATCGGTCCTAGACTCTCTTTCTTCTTTTTCTTACATTTTTTGTTAGCATCAATTAATTAGACAAGAGAATTTAATTGACATGTCCATAAATACTTACAATGTACCTTAATTAGATTTGCCTCTTCCATCACTCCTTATCAACCCCTCCTTCCCAAACCAATTCTGACAAGCTTCATTGTTCTAGTTTCACATATGCACATGGAGTATTTTGACCATGCTTGTTTCTTCCTCTTCTATTCCACCCACTTATCAAGATACTCTTGGTTAAGCTGCACTGCCAATGTGAGCTATAGGAGATTCTATACCAGATTCTAGAGTGAAAAGGGGGTTAGAGACAATGAGATATTCTCCAGCTCCTTATTGTGACATAGCGTGCCTGATGTCTTCCTCCTATTGGCCTCCAGTGTGCTACATCTTCTCTTTGCATTCTACCTCTGTACATAGCATTTTGTTCAATGCTCTGGATGTTTTACTTTTGTTTACTACTTATTATTTGTTTATTATTTACTTATTTATTACTTATAAATTTTTTTTGGGGGGGTCCGGTCGTGGGGCTTGAACTCTGGGCCTGGGCGCTGTCTCTCAGCTCTTCAGCTCAAGACTAGCACTCTATCACTTGAGCCACAGCACCACCTTCCGGCTTTTTTCTTTTTGCTTATGTGGTGCTGAAGAATTGAAACCAGGGCCTCAGGCATTCAAGGCAAGGGCTCTACCACTGAGCCACTTTCCCAGCCCAACTATTACTTATAAATTTATTTAAGTAAAATTTCTTGACCATCTTACTCTTATCACAAACAGTTCCTTGTTATGGGAATTAGCATATATTGCATTTATTTTACATCTGTGTACCTTTCTAAATTTAAATTTATATCCTTGAGCATGTAAACTTATTTTTTGTGGTGCTGGTGTTTGATTCCGAGGTTGTTGCTCATTTTTAGGCAAGCACTCTACCCCTGAGCTGTACTTCAGACCAGAAACTGCCCTAAATATCTTTTTTTTTTTTTGCCAGTTCTGGGGCTTGAACTCAGGGCCTGGACCTGTCCTTGAGAAGCTCAAGGCTAGCACTCTACCACTTGAGCCACAGCACCACTTCCAGCTTTTTCTGTGTATGTGGTACTGAGGAATTGAACCCAGGGCTTCATGAATACAAGACAAGCACTCTAAGCACTAAGCCACATTCCCAGCCTTTCTCCCCTCTTCCTCCCCTCCCCAGATCATGGGGCTTGAACTCTGGGCCTAGGTGCTGTCCCTCAGCTCTTCAGCTCAAGGCTAGCATTCTATCACTTGAGCCACAGCATCACTTCTAGTTTTCTGTTGCTTAATTGGAGATGAATTCCATGGACTTTCTATTGAAGCTGGCTTTGAACTGTGATCCTCAGATCTTAGCTTTCTGATTAGCTAGGGTTATAGGCGTGAGTCACCAGCACCAGGCTCTGTCCTAACTACCTTTGTATCTCTATAAGAAGGTACAGTACCTTTATATGGTGGGATTCAGTGAATGTTGAACTGAATTGAAATTGACACAGAGTATATTTCTGTTAGGCTCTCATTGTGTTTTCTTTAAAACACAGATAATCCTTGTTCCCTTGAAAAAATAGCATTATTTTCATGAAGAAATAAAAGGAAAAAATGGAGTCTGTGATCTAAGCAGTGGGACTTGAAAAAACAAGTATTACTGAACTGAGAGAAAAGTTAAGAGTATGTAAATAAAGTCTGATCAGAGGAGGTTAATGCAAGGACTAGGAAGACCAACGGGATAAGACCTGGAAATTCAGTATCAAGTAAAACTAGATCATGGAAACTGCGAGAGCCTAAAACAGTCCTGATACCTCCCAAAGCTTAGCTTATGTTTTCCCCCTCCTCCTCTCCTTAGGTGCTACAGAGCTTCAAGATAATGGACTATAGCCTCTTGATGTCAATCCACAACATAGATCATGCACAGCGAGAGCCCGTAAACAGTGAAACACAATACTCAGTTGATTCCCGAAGACCAGCTCCCCAGAAGGCTCTCTATTCCACAGCTATGGAATCCATCCAGGGCGAGGCTCGACGGGGTGGTACCATGGAGACTGAGGACCAGTGAGTGGGCTCTGATGCACGAGGGAGTCAATCATAGGTCATAACATTTTTTCTCAAGAAAGGAACCATGCTCTGGAAAGGAATAGCTTTGTTTTAGCAATTAGACAAGCTATATTAAGACTTCTAGGAGCCTTTGAATAAGCCTTTTGTTTGTGCTTGAGTTTTTATTTTTTATTGATTTTTGAGGTGGTACTGGGGCTTGAACTGAAAGCTTTATGACTTGCTGAGCTTTTTTTTTTTTTGGCCAATCCTGGGGCTTGAACTCGGGGCCTGGGCACTATCCCTGAGCTCTTTCACTCCAGGCTAGCACTCTGCCACTTTAAGCCACAGAGTCACTTCTGTTTTTTTGGTAATTAATTGGAGATTAGAGTCTCTTGGACTTTCCTGCCCCAGGCTGGCTTTGAATGGAGATCCTCAGATCTCAGCCTCCCGAGTAGTTAGATTGCCACCAGCAACCTGGCCTCTTGGTTTTTGTTTTTTCTTTTTTTTGGTCGGTCATGGGGCTTGAACTCTGGGCCTAGGCGCTGTCCCTCAGCTCTTCAGCTCAAAGCGAACACTCTACCGCTTGAGCCACAACAGCATTCTGGTTTTCTAGTGGTTTATTGGAGATAAGAGTCTCACGGACTTGACTTTCCTTGCCCGGGCTGGCTTTGAACCGTGATCCTCAGATCTCAGCCTTCTGAGTAGCTAGGATTACAGGCGTGAGCCACCGGTGCCCAGCTTTTTGTTTTTTTTTGTTTTTGTTATAGTTGGTTGTGGGACTTGAACTCTGGGCCTGGCCGCTGTCTCTCAGCTCTTCAGCTCCAGGTGAGCGCTCTACCACTTGGCTACAGTGCCACTTCCAATTTTCTGGTGGTTGCTTGGAGATAAGTCTCACAGACTTTCCTGCCCCGACTAGCTTTGAACTATGATCCTCAGATCTCAGCCTCCTGAGTAGCTAGGATTACAGACATGAGCTAGTGGTGCTGGCTTGTTCTTGTTTTTGACACAATCTCACTGTGATCCTCCTGGTCTCAATCTTGCTTTAGCCTCTGGAGCGCTGAGACCTCTTAAGTTCTGAGATTACTCCTGTGAATCACCATATCCATTGAGTTCAGTTTTGGTGGTATTTGGGTTTAACTCAGTCTTGCTCTTGCTAGGCAAGTACACTACCACTTGAACCACAACCCACCCCACCCCTTGAATAAGCTATCTTAAGAATAAGAGGGCTGGGAAGGTGGCTCAGTGGTAGAGCGCTTGCCTTGCATGCATGAGGCCCTGGGTTCAATTCCTCAGCACCACATAAGCAAAAAGAAAAAAGCCGGAAGGTGGCGCTGTGGCTTAAGTGGTAGAGTGCTAGCCTTGAGCTGAAGAGCTGAGGGACAGAGTCCAGGCCCGGAGTTCAGGCCCCATGACCGGAGGCCCCCCCCCCCCCCAAAAAAAAAAATATATATATATATATATATATAAAGAGCCAGGCACCGGTGGCTCACACCTGTAATCCTAGCTACTCAGGAGGCTAAGATCTAAGGATCATGGTTCAAAGCCAGCCCGGGCAGGAAAGTCCATGAGACTACTACCTCCAATTAACCACCAGAAAACTGGAAGTAGCACTGTGGCTCAAACAGTAGAGTGCTTGCCTTGAGCTGAAGAGATGAGGGACATTACCCAAGCCCAGAGTTCAAGTCACAGGACTGACCCCCAAAAAAAAAAAAAGAATATAAAGAGCCAAGGCTGGGAATGTAGTGGTAAAGTGTTTCCCTAGCATGCATGAAGCCCTGGGTTCGATTCCTCAGTACCATATAAACAGAAAAAGCCGGAAATGGCACTGTGGCTCAAGTGGTAGGATGCTAGCCTTGAGCAAAAGAAGCTCAGGAACAGTGCTCAGGCCTTGAGTTCAAGACCCAGGACTGGCCGAAAAAAATTAGATAGCTAGCCACCGGTGGCTCATGCCTATAATCCTAGCTACTCAGGAGGCTGAGGTCTGAGGACCACAGTTCAAAGCCATCCCCAACAGACTCCTACCTCCAATTAAATCACCAGAAAAATCAGAAGTGGATCTGGGGTTCAAAGTGTTAGAGCACTAGCCTTGATCACCAAAGCTCAGCATCAGCTCCTATCCCCAGCACCAGAATTTTATTTATTTTTGTCAGTCATAGGCCTGAACTCTGGGCCTGGGCGCTGTCCCTCAGCTCTTCTGCTCAAGGCTAGTGCTCTACCACTTGAGCCACAGCACTACTTCTGTTTTTTTCTGCTTATGTGGTACTAAGGAATAGAACCCAGGTCCTCATGCATGCGAGGCAAGCACTCTACCACTGAGCCACCTTCCCAGCCCTGTTTTATTTTTTAGGTAGCTTGTAACATGACTTAATATTAAGAGTATTTAAATGAGCACAAATGAATCTTTAAGTGTTCTCAGACAGTTTCAAGTTAATTGGTGGAGCATTCCCTAAGTTTCTAAGTAGGAATGATTGTAGAGTCTTGTTGGTAGAACCTAGGGTAGGAGAAGGTAGCAAAGAAATTGGAGAGAGGATTACAGTATGTATTCCCAAAAGGTTTCTAAGATTGGAAAGACAATCTCAATCTCTCAACACTTTGTGGAGAATGTCAGTGTTTCCATGTCTATATTTCATATTCTGATTTTGACTCAAATTTAGGAGAAGTCTGTACTTGCTAGCCAACAGATTTTCTGATTTTTACCTTTCTGTCTTCCCAGTATGGGTGGCATCCCTGCCCGGAATAATAAAGGGGAGAGGCTCCTCCTTTATATTGGCATCATTGATATTCTACAATCCTACAGGTGAGGTACATTTGGATCATAAATTAGGAGACAGAGTAGATACATTGTTGTCAGGATAAATTTATTTCCTTGATTTTGCCTTTCTTGGCTTTCCTACCCCAAACTCTCCTGTGGAAAGCTGAGTCAGTGCTTGGAAGCATCAGGGTAGAACATGCCATCTGCCTGACTCTGTGAAAAACCTGTGAGTTGATTCATGCATCATATTGGGATCAGCTGCAACAACAACGGCCTTTTCACAGAGAAAAAAATAAAAGGATCACTGTGTTCTATAAAACATATTAACCTGTGGATCTAAGAAGCAACGAGGAGGGAGAAGTCAGAAATACTAGAGTCTCATTTTGTTCCTATAATATTTCAGACTGAACAAGACTTGAATTACTAACTCAGATAGCACCTAATTTTAGCTACCCTTTCCCAGGCTCGTCCATCTGCTCCTCCAGCTTTCATTTATAATTAATATTATTTTTACTTTCGTTGTGCTCTGCTGGGAGACTGAACCCAGATTCTCATGTGTGCTAGGCAAGTGTTGTGCCATTGCATTGCCCATTTATGATGAATATTCTTGTCCCTGGGATGACAGGGACTTGTAAGCTCCATTTTCTCGTGGGAGAACAGTTGACTCAATTAGAGACACGTTGGTCTCCATGTAGAACCTGCACAGTCTCCGTGTAGAACATGATTGCCAGCCTGTTCTTTGAAAGCTATATCCACAGTGGATATACTTTCCCAGCTATTGCCTTTCCTAGGTCTCTATTATTATTATTAACTATTAAGGCTATGCATTCAGAAACAATGTGTGATATGAATTTTCCTTGGCAGGTTCGTTAAGAAGTTGGAGCACTCTTGGAAAGCGCTGGTACATGATGGGGTGAGTGTAGCACACAACTAAAGGCCTCCTCCCCGCACCCTCTCTTTTTGGCCTCTTGGGACTTGAACTCAGAGCCTAGGCTTTGTCCTTGAGCCTCTTGTTGCTCAAGGAAAGCACTCTACCATTTGAGCCACTTCCAGCTTTTTTTCTGAGTACTTTATTAGAGTCTGACACACTTTCTTGTGTATGCTAGTTTCAAATCACTGATCCCCCCAGATCTCAGCCTCCTGAATAGCTAGGATTATAGATGTGGGCCACCAGTGCCCAGCTTGGGCTCTTCTCTTTTATTTCTGATTTGCCCCCTCAAGTTCTTCTACATTTTTGTTTTTGTTGTTGGTCATGGGGCTTGAAATCAGGGCCTGGGGGCTGTCCCTAAGCTTTTTCACTCAAGGCTTGCACTCTACCACTTTGAGCCATAGTGCCACTTGCGATTTTCTGGTGGTTAATTGGAGATGAGTCTTACAGACTTTCCTGCCCTGGATGGCTTTGAATCAAGATCCTTAGATCTGAGCCTCCTGAGTAGCTAGGATTACAGGTGTGAGCCACTGGTGCCTGGCCTTTTTTTTTTTTTTTCCCCATTTTCTGGTTTTACCCTTCTCTTAGGGTTAAAGCCTAGGGTAACATGATCCTTTGATTCTAAATCCTCTTGCTGATTCCTCTCTCTTTTTTTTTTTTGGTCCGGTCGTGGGGCCTGAACGCTGGGCCTGGGTGCTGTCCCTCAGCTCTTCAGCTCAAGGCTAGCACTCTACCACTTGAGCCACAGCACCATTTCTGACTTTTTTGTTATGTGGTGCTGAGGGCCTCAGGCATGCAAGGCAAGCGCTCTACTACTGAGCCACCTTCCTAGCCCTGATTCCTCTCTCTTTAACTCTGGAGCCATCTCTTCTTTTTTACAGGACACTGTGTCAGTGCATCGTCCTGGCTTCTATGCTGAACGGTTCCAGCGCTTCATGTGCAACACAGTGTTCAAGAAGATCCCCTGTAAGTGGCTTCTACCAGATGACCTCCCCTCCCTCAGTGACTCCTTTACCCCAGAGATGGGGGGCAGGACACTTCTGTCAGGGAACTACAAAGGCCAGAGGCCTCTACTGTTCTACCTGCATCCTGTGAGAGCTGCTTTTCATCCTTATGTCAGTCACTCTGTCTATCTCAGTTGTTTCCGAGTTGCTGTTTTCCCCTGGCTCTCCCTACATGTATTATTGAGGTGAGGGCCATTTCTGGGGAACTGGTTGGATTGAGGGGGGAAAACGTATAGTTGTGAATAGAATATACACCCCATATTGAGTTAGACAGAGCCACAGACTTCTATATATAGAGATAGACAAGATTGTTATCTACCAGTCTTTTTAATTTCCAGCCATGTCTCAGGTAGCAAGCAATTTCAGATTAGTTCAGGTGGAAGAAGCATTGCTAATTTTTCCTAGGTCTTTTCCTTCAACTTAATTTGGAAGTGCTGGTATTCTTTTCCTCAAACCTTCTGTGCTTTTGACATTGGCATCTTCTAGCTCTTCCTTTTCTCCTCACATCATTGGCAGCAGCAGTCCTTTAGGGAGGCAAAGACTATCTAGGCATGCCACATTCTTTACAGGCATGGAAAAATCCTCTTACATGTTTTGTGTGTGTGTGTGTGTGTGTGTGTGTGTGTGTGTGTGTGTGTGTGTGTGTGTGTGTGTGTGTGTGTGTGTGTGTGTGTGTGTGTGCGCGCGCGCGTGTGCGCACATGTGCATATGAGCATGCTTGAGCTCAGGGCCTTTTTTTTTTTTTTTGGTTGTGGGGCTTGAACTCTGGGCCTGAGTGCTGTCCCTCAGCTCTTTGAGCTCAGGGCCTTGTACTCTCCCTTACGTTTTTAATTTTTATTTATTTATTTATTTTTTTTAATTTTTTTTTGCCAGTCATGGGGCCTGAACTCTGGGCCTGGGCACTGTCCCTTAGCTCTTCAACTCAAGGCTAGTGCTCTACCACTTGAGCCACAGCGCCACTTCCAGCTTTTTCTGCTTATGTGGTGCTGAGGAATCGAACCCAGGGCCTCATGCATGCAAGGCAAGCACTCTACCACTGAGCCACCTTCCTAGACCCATTACGTTTATTTATTTATTTATTTATTTTTTGGGTCCAGTCGTGGGGCCTGAACTCTGGGCCTGGGCGCTGTCCCTCAGCTCTTCAGCTCAAGGCTAGCTCTCTACCACTTGAGCCACAGCACCACTTCCGGCTTTTTTCTTTTTGCTTATGTGGTGCTGAGGAATCGAACCCAGGGCCTCACATGCAAGGCAAGTGCTCTAAAACCACTGAGCCACCTTCCCAGCCCTCCTCCCTTACATTTTTTTACACATGGTTGCTATTTTATGTTTTCAAAGTGACATTTTCTAAGTATAAATAAGTATAAATAACATAGTGCTGTGTGCATTAAATACTTTAGAGAATGTAGAATGACAGGGTCATCTTTGTTAGATTTTACTTGGGGATACTATTAAAAAGCCAGGAAGTATGGAATAGAGGACATCTCTCATTGGTTGAATCAAAGCTATGAAGGGTTGCATATGGGAGGCAAGGGAGGGATATGTGTTACTCTTCCTGTAGGTTTTTCTGCTGCTTTCCAAAGTGAAGAAGACCCCTGCTTTGAATAGTACATTGTAGAGCTTATCTTTGTTGACATTAACCTCTCTTCCTGCTCTGCTTCAGAAGAACAACTTTGGGTCTGTGTTGGGGCACTAGCAGTTTGTATCTATGTCTTGGTGATGGTTTCTGAAGTGGGTGCTAAGTAGGCTCTCTCTTTCCCTTTTGAAGTGAAGCCCTCTCCTTCCAAAAAGTTTCGGTCTGGCTCATCTTTCTCTCGGCGAGCAGGCCCCAGCGGCAACTCCTGCATTACTTTCCAGTCATCGGTCTCTGGGGAACACAAAGCACAAGTGACAACAAAGGCGGAAGTGGAGCCAGGTCAGCGCCAGGGCTGGGGTCCCCATGTGATTGGGCACTCCCCTTCTCCCTCCTGAGTCCTCATCTTCTCTGAACAGTACCTCTACTCCCCATTTCTATCCAGGAAAAGTCCAGTTGCTACATAGCTTCCCCCTGTATTTCCCTGATCCCATTACATCTTTTTCCATTTATTCATGTTCTTCCCGTTTTCCTTTCCAGATGTCTCCCTCGGCCGTCCTGATGTCTTACCTCAGACTCCATCTTTGGAGGGAGTCATTGAGGAGTCACCCAGTGTCTCAGCTGTAACTGCAGAGTCTTTTCAAGTACTAAATACAAGGTTAGTTCCTTGGCCCTTTTTCATATAATCTTCTGCTCTTCACATGCTTGGGAGCTTTGAGACTCTTTACTGTTTTTCAAGGGTTTATTTGTTTGTGCTCAATAGTAGATTGTGCTCAATAGTAGATTTGTGCAGAGATTTTTGTGTTTGTGTGCCCCTACCGGAGCTTGAACTTGGGACCTGGAGGCTTGGTGCTTTTCCTTAGTATTTTTTGCTTGAGGCTAGAGCTCTACTACTTTGAGCCACAGCACTACTACTGACTTTTGGGTGGTTAATTGGAGATAGTCTCACAGACATCCTTAGTCTCCTGAGTAGCTAGGATTTTAAGTGTGAATCATTTGTGCCTGGCCCCGCTGGGAGCTCCAAGTGGGCCAATATAGCCAGGTGCCCATGGCTTGTGCCTGCAAACCTAGTTCCTCAGGAAGCTGAAATCTGGAGTTTAAAGCCAGCCTGGCAGAAAAGTCTGTGAGTCTCTTACCTCCCGTTAACCACCAGAAAACTGGAAGTGGTACTGTGGCTCAGACTGGTAGACCACTAGCCTTGAGCATAAAATGTCAGGGACAGTGCCCAGGCCCTAAGTTCAAGCCCCACAACCACCACCACCAACCGCAAAAACAACAATAAACAGCAGGGACTGGGGAGAAGGGTGCAATAAAGATGGTGACTTAACTTTGCTACCTAGTGTATTATTTTATCATAGTAAATTAATTTCTGTAGGTCAGGAATCTAGGTGCAGCCTACCTGGATCTTCTGGCTCATGGTTTCTCATGAGGTCGAGTTAAGTTGTTGCCAGGGCTAGACTCTTATCTAAAGGTTCCAATGGAAGGATTTGCTTCTAAGCCCATTTATATAGTTGCTGAAAGTCTTAATTCCTTGCTGGCTGGGGACTGGAAGCCTCCCTCGGTTCTTTGCTATATGAATCTCTCCACAGGGCAGCTCAAAGTATGGCAACTAGCTTCTCTCACAATGCAAGAGAGCACATGCCTAATTGCAGATATGATAGCATATTATTACCTATGCTACATTCTACTCATTAATGCAACTCATACTCAAGAGGAAGGATTACACAGGCTGTCAGTACTAGCTCCAGGGGTCATTGGAAGCTGTCTTAGATCTGTCATTTCCCCCCCTCCCCCAAACTTCCTATCACAGTCTGCCCCTAACCCTAAGCAACACACATCTCTTTTTGCAGAATATATATACTTCCTTCCAGATTCTGGAGAAAATACCATTCCATTATGGTACTGGGACCAGACCACATCCAGGTGTTTTTTGTTTTTTGTTTTTTTTTTTTTTTGCCAGTCCTGGGGCTTGTTTTCAGGGCCTCAGCACTGCCTCAGAGCTTCTTTTGCTTCAGGCTAGCACTCTACCACTTGAGCCATAAGCGCTACTTCTGGCTCTTTCTGTTTATGTGGTACTGAGGAATCGAACCCAGAGCTTCGTGCATGCTGGGCAAGCACTCTACGACTGTCCATTCCCAGCCACATCCAGGTTTTGAATGAGTTGTCCAAGTATATTCCTTAAGCACAGTTCCTCAAGTATAGTTCCTCTCAGTCCGTGGACCTTTGAAACTAAAAGACAAATCTTCCCAGGCACTTACCTTACTGTGGTAGAGCAGGCCTTAAATGACCACTATATACATTCTTATGTAAAAAGAGAATTCCAAGAACGAGGGTGTTGCTCAGTGGTAGAGCACTTGCCTAACATACCTACTGCCCATAGTCCTAGCTACTCAGGAGGCTGAGATCTGAGGATCACAATTTGAAGCCAGCTTTGGCAGGAAAGTCTGAGACTCTGTCTCTGATTAACCACCATAAAACCAGAAGTAGTACTGTGGCTCAAGTAGTAGAGCAGTAGCCTCAAGGCCTTGAGCAAAAAAGGCTCAAGGACAGTGCCCAGGCCCTGAATGTGTGTTTGTGCACACACACACATCTGCTCACGCACGTGTGCGCACACACATGTATCTTTTTAGGAAGTCCTAAACTTTTTGGAGATCCTGTTTCTCAGAGGATCTATGTAATATATCTTTCACAACTTCAGATGACTTGTATTCCTTTACCTTTTTTCATTTTTCTTTTATTTGAGGAAGATGGGGATGGAATCCAGGACCTCATACCTGCTAAGCAAGCATTCTTTCACTGAGTTAATTCCCCCCCTCCAGTCATTTTGAACAGGTTTTTGATGTAACTAAATAGCATTCTAAAGCATCACCTTTTCTTTCGCTGAGGCCTTAATAGAGTGTTAAAACTCATAACTTGCTTCATCTTCAAACATTTTCTAGATTGGACCTTTGTTCAAAAGCCATTAGGGGCAGGTAGAGGAGTCAAATGATAGAGCACCAAAGCCTCTGGATTCAGTCCCCAGTGCTAAAAAGAAGAGGAAACCAGTTGTGATCTCGAGGACTTGCCTTGGCAATCTGGTTAGCTAGACCACCCACTGCATAAGGCAAATATTCTGCCTTTCAAATGATCACAGATGACATTGTTGCTAGTTTTTGTGCCACTAAGATTTTTCTCACTTAACCCTTAAGCCCTCCCTGGAAACCCTTTAAGTCCAAAATTCTACATATAACATATTCAAGATACTTGAAGATGTCACTAAAATTCTCAAAGCTCCTTCCCACTCCTCTTCAAAAGCTGTTACTAAAAAAATTTTTTTCTTTTTTTTTTGTATTGCTGCTGGGCATGTGGCTCATGCCCATAATCCTAGCTACTCAGGATGCTAAGATCTGAGGATCAATGTGTAAAGCCAGCCCAGACAGGAAAGTTCGTGAGACTCATCTCCAAAAAAGCTGGGAGCTGTGGCTCACATGGTAGAGTGCTAACCTTGAACAACAAAGCTCAGGGACAGTGCTTAGGACCTGAGTTCAATCCCCAGAACCAGTACCAAAAAAAAAAAAATTTATTGCCTAATAAATTATTAGTAAGATATCATAAAATTCAGTAGTTGAAGTTGGGGACTGGTGGCTCACGCTTTACCTAGCTACTTAGGAGGCTGAGATCTGAGGTTCATGGTTCAAAGCTATCCCGGGTAGGAAAGTCCATGAAACTTATCTCCAATAAACCACTCAGAAAACTGGAAGTGGATCAGTGGCTCAAGCGGTAGAGTGCTCGCCTTGAGCTGAAGAGCTGAGGGACAGTTCCTGGGCCCAGAGTTCAAGCACCACAACCGACCAAAAAAAAAAAAAAAGATTTTGAGTAGTTGAAGACAACAAACACTACTTCCAGTTTTCTGTGGCTCAAGAGTCCAAGGTAGCCAGGCGCTGGTGGCTCACGCCTTTAATCCTAGCTACTTAGGAGGCTGAGATCTGAGGATTGCTGTTCAAAGCCAGCCCAGGCATGAAACTCTGTCAGACTCTTATCTCCAATAAACCACTAGAAAACCAGAAGTGGCCTTGTGGCTCAGGGGCAGCGCCCAAGCCCAGAGTTCAAGCCCCACAACTGACCAAAAAAAAAAAAATGTCTAGGACATGGCTTCACTAGATGTTATTGCCTCAGGCTCTCTCCAGAAGATAGCAATTTTCCAGGGCAGTAGTCTCACTTGGAAATTTGCCTAGGGCCGGGTGTTCAGTGTAACTAAGTGGTACAGGATGCCTAGTTGGCACTCAAGCGGCCCTGGGCTCCATCCCTGTGCCCACTGGAGGGAGTGGGGGGAGAGAGCAGAAGGGAAAGAGGAAAGTTTGGGAGAAGGTGATCAGCCTCCAAGCTCACTTACATGATAGTTGTCAGGATTCATTTCCATGAAGGCTGTTGGATTGAGGGCTCCGCTCCTCACTGGCTTGCTATTGGCCAGTGATACTCTCTCAGTTCCTTGTCATATTGTCCTATCTGGAGGGCAGCTCACAACATGGCAGTAGCTTCTCTCAGCAAACAGGCAAAGAGAACATATGACCAAAGAGGAAGCTACAATCTTTTTGCAATCTAACTTCAGAATTGACATTTCTGTTACCATTGAAAGCAAAGCCACTTTCGAAACTGCTTTCCACACCTGGGGATTGAAGACAGAATAGCAAAGCGCTAACACTAAAGAAAACACTTACTTGGCTCAAAGTGGTAGAACACTAGCCTTAAAAAGTGGTGCTGTGACTCAAGTAGTAGAATGTTAGCCTTGAGCTGAAGAGCTCAGGGATAGCGCCCAGGCCCAGAGTTCAAGACCCACAACTGACAAAAAAAAAAAAGAAACCACTTACTCAAAATAATGTGCTTCTGATTCTAGTAGCTTCTAAGCTGCTTCTTTCTGAATCTTGAGTTAATTCTGAAGTAAAATATAGAGAAGCATTCTGAGATTTGACCTCAAGTAGAGTCTTGTTATCTTCTAATCTTTTTCCTCTCTCTTTTTCTTCTGTTAGTACAACCTTGGAAAAGCTTGAAATTACAGAGCCAGAGTTGACCCATGTAAGTTCTGGGACTTAGGGGAGGTGAATTCTTTGAAGGGTATAAAATGGATCACCAGTGGGATGGAGCAAGAAAGTAGAGCATTTAAGTGCCTTTTGAATCTTGCTTTTTAAAAATTGTGTTTTGGTGCTTCGTACTTGGAATCTGAGACGAAAATAAACAAAAAGTGTCTTAGCAGCCAGGTTGAAATTAACTTGAATTCTATTCCTGCCTCCTTATCTTATATTCTGCTTACTTAACTTTATACTCTTTCTCTTTTTAGTGAGCAGCAAACCTTGGAAGACCCAAAACAAGATTCTACTGTCTCTGTGATCCCAAGATGTCAGCCCTTGCCCCAGGAATGCTGAATTTTCTTCTTTTCTTGGTCATCAAAAAAGGAGTAGAAATTGGAGGCTAAGGGAGCTTTCCATCTCCTTTTAAAAGAAGAGTCTCGTTCTCTCTCCCTTCTTCTGAGTGGGCAGTAGTGCCTTGGACAGCTGAGGACAGCGGCATCTCCCCCGCTCCAGAGTTGGGGGACACAACTTTTCAGATGGCTAGCCCTGGCTTCCACATTGATTTTTTTTTTTTCAAGTCCCCATTTTTCATTGGGAATGGGGTTGCTGGACTTTGATTCTACCAGGAGCTGGACTCTTAATTTCCTCAGGACAGACTGGCCACCACATTATTCCCACCCTTAGCTCTTCCTTTCTGATCCTTAGAGGAAGACCCCTGTAATTTTTGTAAATTTTTTTGGGGGGGGATTAATGGTATTTAAACCACCTCCCAACCTTTTTTAGTTTTCCTTAATAAAGGAAAAGAACAGCACACAGCACAATTTCAAGCCAGTTTCAGATAAAACTCCAGAAGTGTCAAAAGAGGTGCCTCTTGGTATGCAGAATTCCTACAGAGAAATGGAAGGCAGTGATTGATCTGTCAGCAGCAGCTCCTTGTAACTTCTCTTTTGATGAGTTTTTAAGGCCGAAAGAATGGAGCAAAAGAGACATGAGTTGTTCTCTCCCTTTGTATTAAAACAGTGGGGCAGCCATGGGGCTAGGAGATGAAAGCCCTTCTTAAGAAGAACCCTCCTCACTGCCAGGCCATAATGATTAGTACTATTTTGCAGTTTGAAATGTATTCTGATTCTTTTTCTAAATATGAAGACCTAGCAAATGAATTTTTGACTATTCTCCAAAGGAGATTTCTTCTTTGTTCTTCCCATTTTTTCCAACAGTGTTCCGTTCTCCATGGAGCTAAGGTGGAGGGAGACACGTGCGTCTGTTGAACAGTCAATCTATATCTCTGAGGATAGAGAATATTCTCTTAAACTCATGGGGAGCAGCAGACTTTTGCCTTGGTGAGGTCATCGCTGTGTCAAATGGCTGCCCCTCTTGTTACAGGGAACTTGGAAACGGGGCTGATAAACCCTCCCCTCCCCATGTCTGAGAGCTGTGGTTGTCCATCTCTTGTTTGATCCACCACTCTTGTCAGGGGAAGAAGGGGGCGTGGTGTCTCAGGCAGATTGTTGAAGTCACACACTACTATCTCTTCTCCATCCTACCCTACCTTGATAGTAGGCTAGCCCATACCCAAGTAACTGTCTATATTAGACACCCCCAGCCAGTTTTTGGCTGCCTGTCTTTGTTGCCATGTTCTTTTTTACAAGAAGGAAAGAAACAGTTCTTGCTATTTTTTTCATGATTTACTATTTATGATGTATTTATGTGTTTTATTCAGGACAGAGTTCTGTAAGGGGTGGGAGGGACTAAGTCTTAGGGAAAGGAATGGGGACTCGACATTTTTATGAAGTGTTACTATTTGCCTCTACTTTGTATTGTTCAGAAATGGCAAATGCAATATAAAAGTAATAAATATAAATATCTGGTTTTAATGTATAAACTTTGATCTGTTATTTAGACCTTTTTTTGATTTATTTTTTAATGTTGGGGATTGAATCCAGTATCCAGCACATCTGCTCTATGGTGGAGGTATACCCCCCAGTTTTCTTTGGACCTTTTTCATATTGCATCTGCTCCAGCCTTCTTCACCATCTAACCTTACTGTTACTCAAGTTGCTATGAACAGAACGCTTCACGTTTTCCAGTTGCTTTCACTCCAGCTTCAGTCTAACTACAGCCAAGAGAAATGTCTTCATCCCTGTTTTCCAGCCACCTCACAAGTTAAATCTAACAAGGAAAAGCTGTTACAGCATAAATTGCAATCCAATTTAACTGAAGGATCTGGAGATCTGAAGCTCAGCTTACTCAGGTGCATAGGAAAGGAGAGGAATTGAGGAGAGCAAGCCTCATGGCAGTTGACCCTAGGATTCCCTGCCTTCTGAGCAGGCCCTAGGGTGTCACTCAGAAAATCATCCATACTACCTCCTCTCTTTGTTGTGTTTCGCTCTACTACTTGAGCCAGCAGGGCTGGAGGTAGTAGGGTTTGAACTCTGGGCCTGGGCACTATCCCTCAGCTCTTCAGCTCAAGGTGAGCATTCTACCACTTGAGCCACAGTACTACTTCTGGTTTTCTGGTGGTTTATTGGAGTAAGAGTCTCTCGGCCTTTTCTGTTGGGGCTGGCTTTGAACAGTGATCCTCAGACCTGAGCCTCCTGAGTAGCTAGAATTACAGGTGTGAACCACCAGTTCCAGCCCTTTAGCTCTTTCATGAGGTTGCGTTTAGGTTCTTGTGTCAAAAACTAAACAAGCTGGGTGCTGGTTGCTCATGCCTGTAATCCTAGCTACTCGGGAGGCTGAGATTTGAGGATCGCAGTTCAAAGCCAGCCTGGGCAGTAAGTCCGTGAGACTTTATCTCCAAATAACCACCAGAAAACCAGAAGTGGTGCTGTGACTCAAGTGGTAGAGTGCTTGCATTGAGCCAAAGAGCTGAGGGACAGTTCCCAAGCCCAGAGTTCAAGCCCCACACTGACAAAAAATAAATAAAATAAATATAACAAGCTTGTAGGTGGGAAAGCTTTAGAGAAAAGCAAACATTGTTATGGTTTCTTTGTTTTTTTTTTCCAAATAAGGTCTATGGAGCACTGCTAACCTTGAACTGAACTTGCTCAGGAGGAGGTGGCCTTGGCTTCTGAGGACTGGGATTTTTGGCATGTGTCCCCATGCTTGTTTCGTATTGTTCCTTTTGTAGCATTGTTCCCTATCTGAGGATCGGCTTACAAATATTTATATAACAGCTAGTGAGCAATACCCAGGGTAGCTGGGAGGTCAAAAGAAGTAGCTGGGCTGGCGCTGGCAGCTCACCCTGTAATCCTAGTTGTTCAGGAAGCTGAGATCTAAGGAGCACTGTTGGAAGCCAGCCTGAGCAGGAAAGTCTATGAGACTCTTATTTCCAATTAATCACAAAAAAACTGCAAGTGAAGCCGTGGCTCAAGTGGTAGAGCACTAGACGAGCAAAAAAAAAAAGCTCAAGGGACTGGGAAGTTGGCTCAGTGGTAGAGCGCTTGCCTTGCATGCCTGAGGCCCTGGGTTCGATTCCTTAGCACCACATAAGCAAAAAGAAAAAAGCCGGAAGTGGCGCTGTGGCTCAAGTGGTAGAGTGCTAGCCTTGAGCAGAAGAGCTGAGGGACAGCGCCCAGGCCCAGAGTTGAGGCCCCACGACCCGACCCAAAAAAAAAAAAAAAAAAAAAGCTCAAGGACAGTGCCCAGACCCTGAATTTAAGCCATGACCAGCACACTAATTTGAAGCCAGTGGCTTTTGCCTATTAGCTACTTGGGAGAAAAGTCGAGCAGACCCCACATCTGGACATGGTTACATCAGCTATCATTGTAGCTACAATAGGAAGCCTAAAATAGGCAGATCATAGGCTAGATGCACACTTGGGCAGGAAGCAAGATCCTGTTTCAAAATATAGCCAGCACATAGGGTTCAGTACTACAATGCCTATAGTAAGTGCCCTAGGTCAAATCCTAGTACTGCCAAAAATTAAAAGGGTGGTCTTTAAGAGTTTATAGTGCCTGAGTAAAACACATATATAAGAATAACTTTAGATATGCTAACTAAGGATTTAAGTTCTCTTGAGTGATAGAAACCATCCAAGTGGAAGGAAACTAGACTTACTGTGGGCTGGAAATTTCACTTCAGCAGAGGAACATAGAGGTATGAGAGATTTGTTTTTGAGAATGAGATGATGGTGAGAATAGCCAAGTACATATAGGTAGATACAACATTGGAAGCTGCTGGGGTGAGGAATTTTCACTTTAACTTGTAAACAAATGGGAATCATGAAATATTTTTGGATATGACCAAAATAACTTGGGGCTGGGGTATAATTCAGTGGTGGGCACTTGCCTAGTATGTGTGAAGCCCATGTTTGATCCCCAACACTGCAAAAAGAAAAAAGTTCAGAGACCAATCTACTAACAAAGATCTATCCAAATGGTTATAAGAAGAGTAAGAGCCCGGCACCGGTGGCTCACGCCTGTAATCCTAGCTACTCAGGAGGCTGAGATCTGAGGATCACAGTTCAAAGCTAGCTCAGGCAGCAAAGTCTAAGAGCCTGGTGTTGGTGGCTCACACCTGTAATCTTAGCTACTAGGAGGCTGAGATCTGCAGATCGTGGTTCAAAGCCAGCCTGGGCAGGAAACTCCGTGAGACTCTTATCTCCAATAAACCACTCAGAAAACCGGAAGTGGCACTGTGGCTCAAGTGGTAGAGAGCTAGCCTTGAGCTAAAGGAGCTGAGGGACAGTGCCCAGGCCCAGAGTTCAAGCCCTATAACTGACAAAAAAGAAGGTGAGTTAGTATAATTCAAGTGGTAAGAGTGCCTAGCAAGTGAGCAGCTATGAGTTCAAATCCTAAGGCCACAATTTAAAAAAAAAAAAACGTAGAGAAGGCAAGACTGGTTACATTAATAAAATGTGAGGTGATAGGGTCTTGGGATAGTAGGGACAGCAATTGGAGAGAAAGGGGAACACAGTGAATAAAAACTGGGCAGGGGCTGGGAAGGTGGCCCAATGGTAGAGTGCTAGCCTTGCATGCCTGAGGCCCTGGGTTTGATTCCTCAGCACCACATAAGCAAAAAGAAAAAAGCCAGAAGTGGCGCTGTGGTTCAAGCGGTAGAGCACTAGCCTTGAGCTAAAGAGCTGAGGGACAGTGCCAGGCCCAGAGTTCAGGCCCATGACTGACCAAAAAAAAGATTTTAGCCTGGGGCTGGTGGCTCATGCCTGTAATACTAGCTACTCAGGAGGCTGAGATCTGAAGATCATGGTTCAAAGCTAGCCTAGGCAGGAAAGCTGAGACTCATCTCCAATAAACCACCAGAAAACTGGGAGTGGCACTGTGGATCAAGTGGTAGAGCACTAGCCTTGAGCTGAAGAGCACAAGGACAGAGCCCAGGCCGAGTTCAAGCCCCACAGCCTACAAAAAAGAACCTGGGCCAGGCCCCAGTAGTTCACACCTGAAATCCTAACTACTCAGGAGGCTGAGATCTGAGGATCACAGTTCAAAGCCAGCTCAGGCAGGAAACTCAGTGAAACTCATCTCCCAATAAACCACCAGAAAACAGGAAGTGGTGCTGTGGCTCAAGTGGTAGAGCACTAGCCTTGAGCTGAAGAGCTGAGGGACATGTCATGCCCAGGCCCAGAGACAGACAAAAAAAACCCCACAAAACTGGGCCCTTGCAGCTCATGATTTTAATCCTAGCTCAGGAGGTTGAAATCTGAAGTTTGAAGCCAGCCTGGGCAAGAAACTATGCGCCTCATCTCCATTTAACAACCAAAAAACCACAGGTGGCTGGGCACCAGTGGCTAACACCTGTAATTCTAGCTACTCAGGTGACTAAAATCTGAGGATTGCAGTTCAAAGTCAGCCTGGGCAGGAAAGTCTGTGAGACTCTTACCTCCAATAAACCACTAGAAGACCGGAGGTGGTGTTGTGGCTCAAGCGGTAGAGAGCTCCCCTTGAGCTGAAGAGTGCAGGGACAGCGCCCAGGCCCAGAGTTCAAGCTCCACGACCGACAAAAAAAAAAAAGGTAGAGTGCTATGCTTGAGAAAAATCTCAGGGATAGTGCCCAAACCCAGAGCTCAAGCCCCAGGACTAGTAAAAGGGGGAAAAAAAAAACAAGTGGATCTGTGGCACAAGCAGTAGAGCACCAGCCTTAGTGAAAAAAGCTAAGGTACAGTGCCCAAGCCCTGTGTTTAAACCACAATAGAAAGACAAAACAAAAAACATTGCAGAATTACATTTTTATTTGAGTTTAACCTACAGGTTCAATCCTCTGGTAGGAGCCAGATCTGAATGTGTTCTAGACTTTGGGCTACTCTGACCTTTGTCACACACACCCTGTTCAGTGCACTATTAGATGCAGAGCAGGGATGGAGGCCGCCTTCTGGTCAGAGGGTCCCTCTAGTGGTGAGTAGTAGCTAGTGTTGGTAGTTGTACACTAACCTACAGTCCTACACATGTGGTCTTGGTGTAAAACTTCTGTAACTAGCCCTGCGCCGGTGGCTCACGATAATCCTAGCTACTAAGGAGGCTGAGATCTGAAGATTGCGGTTCAAAGCCAGCCGGGGCAGAAGCGTTCCTGAGACTCATCTCCAGTAAACCACCAGAACACGGGAAGTGGCGCTGTGGCTCACGAGATAGAGCACTTGCCTTGAGCTGAAGAGCTGAGGGACAGCGCCCAGACCCAGAGTTCAAGCTCCATGACCAAATAATGATAATCACCATCATCCAAAGAAAATCCTGAAACTACAAAGAAATAAAATGATATGACAATAAAACTGAAAATCCTCCACTATCTTAATGTTTCAAATGTCCATCTTAGCTATTTTTAAAAGATATGTATCAGCTGGAATGCTAGAACTGACCTAATCACAGCTTCTGGTATCTCGCCTGGGAACTAGGATGGTTGGGAAGGTGGAGATAAAGTTCTCTTACTGTGCGA